TATTCATTCTTATTGATATAAGTCAAAAACTCCAAAAGGTCTGCCTCCTTTCCTCTCCATACAAAAAAACAATCGTCGATGTACCGTCTATAAAAAAACAGGTTCGCCCCCCACTGGTGACCTTGCCAAATGAACAGATTTTCCCAGTGAGCCATAACGATGTTGGCGTAGCTGGGAGCGAACCTGGTCCCCATAGCGGTACCATTTACCTGCAGATATATATCATCCTCATACCAGAAAAAATTATTTCTGAGTATGAAATCTATGCATTCAATCAGGAATTCCACCTGTTCTACTAACATTGTAGGATCCTCATACAAGATTTGTCTTACTGCCTTTATTCCCAAGTCGTATTTGATGACAGTGTATAGCGACGTGACGTCACAAGTCACCATCACATAATCTTCTTCCCATTTGAGGCCTTCTATGTTTCTTAATAGGTCTCCACTGTCCTTTAAATAGGACTTGGCTTTTTTTACGAAAGGTTGTAATATTACATCTATGTATTGCGATAGATTGCATGTAAGAGACCCTATTCCTGAAATGATGGGTCTACCCAGGGGATTCGTAAGGCTCTTATGTACTTTGGGTAATTGATAAAACACTGTTTTTTTAGGATATATCACCATCACAAACTCTAATTCTTTCTTGTTTAATATATTCAGAAATCTTCCTTTCTGTAATATGGTGAATAAACGTTTTTTAGTATCCAATGTAGGATCCCCCTTCTTCTGCATTCTGTATTGTAATCCCTAGTGTTCAGGACCACAATCCCCCCTCCCTTGTCCACCGGTTTTATTGTAATATCTCTGTTCTCACTTAATTCTTTGAGTGCTTTCTTTTCCCATACATTCAAATTCTGTTTATATTTGGCCACTCTTTTGGGTAGCTTTTCTATATCTGCAGTTGCTGCTAAATTAAAAGCCGACATAGGGCCACTCATTTGATTAGTGGGACAAAAAGTAGACTTATTTCTTAGAGTTGTATGGTGAAAAGTAGTGTGTCGTATTGTAGGTGCCATAGAACTCGAATTATTTTGTACGTCTAAATACGCTGTAAATGGGTCTGATTTGACTGTAGGAGCATATTTTAAGCCTCTGTTCAGCACCTTAATTTGGTGTTTAGTAAGTGTAGCACTAGATAAGTTGAAGATTCCTATTTGTTCTACCTTCTCATTTTCTTTTCTCCTGCGGTATCTCTTCCCCCCCCCCTACATCCTCTAAAAAAAAGGCCTCTTTCTGATATTGGTTTGTGGGGGTTCTCGATGATTCTGACTGAAATATTGACTTCTTGGTCCTAAAAAATTGTCATTGGGTCGATTTTCTTTTGTCTCTACATGGTTGGCCTCTTCTGTACGAAGTGCATCAAACCTATTGTATGAACGCCAATTTTTTACTTGATTGCTGACTCTTGGTGTTTCTAAATTATAGTTCCCTTGGGATCTGTAGGAATTTTTTCTTTTATTGTGGGTGACCGTGGTCCACTCACTATTTTTTACTTTCTGGGGTGTGTATTGTCTTGGTTTTAATTCTCCTCTCTTAATATGGTTATACCCTGAGAGATTTTCAGGAGCATATGTGGTTTTGTAGTTTTTAAGATTCCTAGGGGCATTGTACTTTTTGTCATACAGTGAGACACTCCCATATACAAACAATAGAATCCCTCCTCTGTTCTTGGGAGATAATTGAATCAGGAACTGTACTAATCTAACCCAATTATCTCCAAGCACAAAGAAACATACAATTTTATGAAACCCCAAAAAGTACCTTAAAAACACATAAAACCCCACATGAATCCCATGATAGCCTCGATCTGGATGAACAACATATCCAAAAATCACCCAGATCGGTTCAGGGTTTCAGGTATTTCCTGGAAGTCATAGTTTTGACCGACCGTGCACATGGTCCTATGCCCAAAAACAGTTCCAGGGAAATCAGTGCTAACAGTCAGTCAAGTTCGGTAGTCTTTTACAGGTTTCCCTGCAGGGCCCATAGTCTGTGGGCAGGAGGCTGACAAGCAGGCCCATCCAAGTACAAGTGGTGAGGTTATTTTCGCCACAGAGGTTACTCTGGGAGGCCATAAGCTTTCCTGTAGAGATGGGTTTTAAGGCACTTCTTAAACGATTGAAGACTAGGGGAGAGTCTGATAGTTGAAGGCAGGCTTAATCTAATCATTGGACACACTGATATCTCTTATACCTCGTTTTCATTATCTAATCCTTGGCCACACTGATATCTCGTATATATAATTTTCATTAATCTAATCCTTGGCCACACTGATATATGGTATGTATCTAGTTTCCTTAATCTAATCCTTGGCCACACTGATATCTCGTATATCTCGTTTCCTTAATCTAATCCTTGGCCACATTGATATCTACTGCCACTTACATGGTTATTCACTAAAGTAAGAATTCAAAGTGAATTTCAAATTTAAGGTCAAAATTGCTGAACTGGAAAAATTCTCTGTCAGCAATGATTTTAGTTTGGCAACTCTGGCCTTACATTTGAAAAATGAATTGTGAAGTCACTTTGTACTCCCATTGTAGTAAATAAACATAGTGTTTTAGATGTTAATCAAGAAGAAACCTTGTTTTACAAATCATTGCAGCAGCAACTCTACCAAGCCACTATGAACATATTGCAATAACAAATCTAAAAAGGCATCATAAGGGGTTCCCTTATAGTGGCAAGGTCATTGCCTGGAGACTTTGATGAATTTGCAAACACTCCCGAAGGTAACATCGCAGCTGGTGGTCTAGTGTCTGAGAGGGCAGGTAAAGGTGAGATTTACTTACTTGAACCTGTCCCCCCTGAATCTCAGAAAGTCAGGTGGGTGAGATTCCCTACTTTGTCTCTGTATATTTCTTGATTGGGTTTGAATTTCACTGAAATTTCAGTGAAATTCCACCAGAGTCAAAATGAGTATTTAATAAAATCTTTAGGAAATACAAATTTTTCAGGAGGAAGGGGGGTAACAGTGCCACTTTAAATGTACTGAAATATAGAATAATGTATTTTTAAATATAGAATGTATTGAACGTTTACAGGCGCTAATTTGTCTTTGAACTAGGTGTTACATTTAATGAGTGAGCCACCTGAACCAACCTAGTAGTAATTTTCACCATTTAGCATAGGAACGAGGTGTTACATGGCTAACATCTTCTCATATAAATCCTAACAATGACTACCAGTCACTGAATGCTTTCTTGTAAACACATTCCTCCACCAGATCATTATTTATAATGTGGCAGGATATCTGTGGAAGAAGCTGCATTTTTTGTGAAACCATAATGCTTTGTCCCATCTGTTCACAGGGATATGTACAGCTGGACAGGAATATATATGGCTCAGTTCACCACATGTTACTTAACAATAAACCTTTGATAGCAGCAAAAGTAATCAAATAAAGATGTTTAACATATATCTATAGTCTATCTACATTAGATGAACATTCCTTTTAACTGTCTCAAAACTGCCATCGATTCAACATGTGGAAAGTTAAAACCATAGATGGTGTAAATGCTTATGTTTAAAGAGCATTTTACTTAAATCAAAACCCAATTTTCTGTGCGTGTAATCTGGTGCAAGCAAAAGAATATGCGAAATAAACCAAAATCAAAAATAAATTTTCCAAAAGAGTTTTTTTTCCTGTTGTAACATTGATAAATATTCTCACCCTTTTTACTATTTAATTATCTTTTGCCATGAGGGGGGAGGGGTCAAAGCAAATTTCATTGAGCTACAGTCTAATGTAGTAGACTTCAGCCCATTTTAGAGTTGAAATGGTCGTATTAACAATGGGTTTCTGTATACGATGAAATGAATACTGTAAATCACTACATAGAATGACTGGGTCCACTGAGTCTATAACTGGGCAGCTACTAAGGCAAAATTTGTGGTGACTGAATGAGAAAGAAAATATTTGAAAATATGTAATTATTACTTAAATTTTACTAATTGTTACATTAAGAAAAATATATGTTGTTCCATAAGCACTAACACAGAAGATGCTTTGCACAATAACACATTGTGTGCTGTGCTGTAGCATTATTAAAAATTGGAAAAAATAAAAACAGGACCTGACTTCAAACCTCTAGAGTAGGGGTGCCCAAAAGATCTTGTAGAACTACAACTCCCTTGATGCTTGGTGTGCCTTCAGACAGTGGCATCTCTAGGATTCATTTTTAGGGGGGGCACATGGTGGGCCAGGGACTAAAGTAAGGGGGCACATTTAACCCCGCCCTCACCGCAGTTTGACCCCGCCCCTGCCGCATGTTAAGCCCCACCCCGACACAATGTGTTTTTGTTTTTTTTTAATAATCCCTGGTGGAGAATTCATTATTTTCCACCAAGGATTATTAAAAAACAAACACAGACTGCTGAGTCCTTACACACAGAGACACACAGACTGCTGACCATACACACACACACACACACACACAGACACACAGACTGCTGAGTCCATACAAACACAGACACATAGACTGCTGAGTCCACACACACAGACTTCTGAGTCCATACACACACACAGACTTCTGAGTCCATACACACAGACTGCTGAGTTCATACACACACACACACACACACAAACACAGACTGCTGAGTCAATAGACACACAGACACAAACACAGACTGCTGAGTCCATACACACACACACAGACTGCTTAGTCCATACACACACAGAGACTGCTGAGTCCATACACACACAGAGAGACTGCTGAGTCCTTACACACATGCAGACTGCTGAGTCCATACAAACACAGACACAGACTGCTGAGTCCATACACACACACACACACACACACAGACTGCTGAGTCCATACACACAGACTGCTGAGTCCATACACACACACACACAGACTGCTGAGTCCACACACACACACAGACTGCTGAGTCCACACAAACACACAGACTGCTGAGTCCATACACACATACACACACACACAAACACAGACTGCTGAGTCCATACACACATACAGACTGCTGAGTACATACACACAGACAGACTGCTGAGTCCATACACACATACAGACTGCTGAGTCCATACACACAGACTGCTGAGTCAATACACACATACAGACTGCTGAGTCCATACACACAGACAGACTGCTGAGTCCATACACACACTGCTGAGTCCATACACACAGACAGACTGCCGAGTCCATACACACACAGTGCTGAGTCCATACACACAGACACACTGCTGAGTCCATACACACACACTGCTGAGTTCATACACACATACAGACTGCTGAGTCATACACACACAATGCTGAGTCCATACACACATACAGACTGCTTAGTCCATACACACACACTGCTGAGTTCATGCACACATACAGACTGCTGAGCCCATACACACAGACTGCTGAGTCCATACACACACACTGCTGAGTTCATAAACACACACTGCTGAGTTCATACACACATGCAGACTGCCGAGTCCATACACACAGACTGCTGAGTCCATACACACACACTGCTGAGTTCATACACACATACACTGCTGAGTCCATGCACACACAGAGACTGCTGAGTCCATACACAGACAGACTGCTGAGTCCATACACACACACTGTTGAGTTCATACACACATACACTGCTGAGTCCATACACACACACTGCTGAATCCATACACACACAGACTGCTGAGTCCATACACACACAGACAGACTGCTGAGTCCATACACACACACACATAGACTGCTGAGTCCATACACACACACTGCTGAGTTCATACACACATACAGACTGCTGAGTCCATATACACAGACTGCTGAGTCTATACACACACAGTACTGAGTCCATACACACAGACAGACTGCTGAGTCCATACACACACACTGCTGAGTTCATACACACATACACTGCTGAGTCCATACACACAGACAGACTGCTGAGTCCATACACACACACTGCTGAGTTCATACACACATACACTGCTGAGTCCATACACACACAGACTGCTGAGTCCATACACACACAGACAGACTGCTGAGTCCATACACACACACACATACAGACTGCTGAGTCCATACACACACAGCTGAGTTCATACACACATACAGACTGCTGAGTCCATACAAACAGACTGCTGAGTCTATACACACAAAGTGCTGATTCCACACATACAGACTGCTGAGTCCATACACACACTGCTGAGTCCATACACACAGACAGACTGCTAAGTCCATACACACATACAGACTGCTGAGTCCATACACACACTGCTGAGTTCATACACACATACAGACTGCTGAGTCCATACACACACACTGCTGAGTCCATACACACACACACAGACTGCTGAGTCCATACACACACACAGACTGCTGAGTCCATACCCACAGACACACAGACACACAAGCTTCCTCACTAGCAGACAGACAGACACACACACACACCTGAGCATATCAAGCCTACCTATTGCTGGGGGTCAGACAGCCATCTTCTTGCCTTTCCAGCAGCAGCATGGTCTGCTGCTTAACGACGGGGGTGGGGCTTATGTGCAGGAGGTGGGGCTTCACTTGGGGGCGGGGCCTTGCAGGGGTTGCCCTGCATTCCCAAGGGAATAGAATGTAAGAACATGTTGCTGGCATTTGGGGGGCCCAAGGGGGAGCACAGCATGATGTAGGGGGGCCATGGCCCCCTCTGCCCCCCCCCTATTGACGCCACTGCCTTCAGAATGCCTTTAGAATGATAAAGCATCGTGGAAGCTGTAGTATTACATCTGGGGATCTACCATTTGGACACCCCTACTCTAGTGTATTACCTGTTTCAAACCCCCAGTTCTGTAAAATGTGGTATCTGTGACGTTCCTTGTTTCCTATGTTTCCTTTCTACCTTTTTTTAAATACTTGTTCATTTATACAACTCTTTCAACCTGTTCTTTCTGCTCTGTGTTAGTTAACATGTTAATTAGGGATTATTCTAGCTTCTAAAACCAAATAATCTAAATTTTATTAAAGACAGGAGGCGGATTTTTGCTTTACTTCCTTTACTGAATCCTCCCAGCAGCAAATAAATAGTTAAACAATTTAAACAAAAAACTACCAATCAGAACACATATAGTCAGTAATATATGGCTATGAGACTCCTCCAAACTCCTCTTTATTGATGCAGCAGGAGTGTGAAATCAACAGTGTAAACCAGAAACAGGAAAATTCTTCAGAGAACGTAGTCAACCATGTAAACGAAATGTAACCGATCCAGTAGAGCAAGAACTTGAGGATGTCTTGAAGAATACGAAGATAGCCTCACACTAGAATGAAAAGAAAATTTGTGAAAGTATGGTGTGACTGATAGATTGTCAATCATACAAATGTCTAGCACTATAACTAATCATATATCAACAACCTGTGGTGCTATCTAGATATCTAAAAATACATAGATGGACACTGGATTACGAGGATGAATATAGGACACAAAAAGAGGTCCCGATGGAGCCTGAAGGGGAATGGTAAGGTGACATATCGTTGTAAACAACGGGCAACACAAAAAGATGGACCATCAGGGAAATACGGGTAAAAAACTGAAGTAGAAGGGACCTTCAGGAGTGAATGCAATAGCGTGAAGGTCAAAAGCCATGACGTTGGAAACCTGACGAAATGAGACCAAACAAAGCAACAGGGCTAGTTTGGCAGAGTTTACGTAAGGAAAGTTACAAGTTAGGAAGCCATGCTTCCAGGAAAGACAAAACCTGTGAAACATCCCAAAATTGGGTGTATTCAGGGACCAGAGGTCGGGAAAGACGAATACCCCGTAGTAGCCTGCAAACGGATTGATGTTTTCTGACTGGAACTGCATCAATCGGGCAATGAACCGCTGAAATAGCAGAACGAAAAACGTTTATTGTACGGTAAGACTTGCTACTATCAAAAAGAGACGATAGGAAGTTCATAATATTCTCCTAAGTCGTTGAAAAGGGATCAATATCCCTTTCCAAACACCAGCAAACTCAGAACCGCCATGCAGAAAGGTATGATCTATGAGTTCTTGGGGCCAATGAGTCCCAGAAGAGGCTTTGAGCAGATCCCAAAAGTCTTGAGACATACCAGGATCCCCTGAAACAGTCCAGGCCTCTAGCCGAAGACGACCCTGGATGGCAAGAGGCTGAAAGTCACCGGAGGGATCTTGAGCCAGAGGCAGAAGCAGAGGATAATCACTGAGCTAATGGAAGTGTTAGGCCCACTCTGCTAGATGGCTTCTGCTTTCTCCTATTGGTGCAAGTAAGCCTGTGAGTATGTACGGCTGTGTGTGCACATCAACAGGGCTCCATCTTATTTGTCCTCCATGGCTCCTTCTTCCTCCTCCAGCTTCCTCCTTGTTCCCTCCCCTCGCCATGCACAGAAGTGCGCATGCACATTCGTGCTTTGAGTCAGAGGCTTTTCAAGAGATGAAGGTCCAGGCTGGGGAAAATAGAGGAGGACAGGAAAAGGCCACAGGCAGAAGAACTGCAGCTTTTGGAAGCTCTTTTTAGATATACCCAGGGCCGGCCTTAGGCTTTCATGCGCCCTGTACGAAATATCTTAGCAGCGCCCCCTCCCTCCCTCCGCCCCCCCCCACACAGACAGTCATACACATACAGTTACAGTCGTAAAAACACAGTTACAGGAAGTTATTCAGACTGCTGCCACACAGTTACAAGCAGACAGTCTCACACAGTTACACGCACAAAGACACACACATTTACAGACAGACAGTCATAGGCAGACGGACACACACACAGTTACAGGCAGTTACATCGTTCAATTATAGGCTGGAGGGGGGAACAGGGCCACTGTTGAAGTAGCTGGAGGATTAGGGTCACTGTGGCAGATGGGGAGCAGGAGCACTGTAGCAGTAGATGGGGGAACAGGGGCACTGTAACAGTAGATTGGGGGAGCAAGGGCACTATAGCAGTAAATGAGGGGAGCAGGGCACTATAGCAGTAGATAGGGGGAGCAGGGGCACTGAGGTAGATGGGGGAGCAGGGGCACTATAGCAGTAGATAAGGGGAGCAGTGGCACTATAGGAGTAGATGAAGGGAGCATGTGCACTATAGGGGTAAATGGAGGGAGCAGGGGCACTATAGGGGAAGATGGGGGAACAGGGGCACTATAGGGGTAGACAGGAGAGCAGGATCATTATAGGGGTAGATGTGGGAGCAGGGGCACTATACGGGTAGGTGGGGGAGCAGGGGCATTATAGTGGTAAATGGGGGAACAGGCTCTACAGGGGTAGTTGGGGAGCAGGGACACTATATAGGGGGCACTATAGGGGTAGATGGGGGCACTATATGGGTAGATAGGGAAGCAGGGGCACTATAGAGGTAGGATGGGGCAGCAGAGGCACTATAGCGGTAAATGGGGCAGTATTGGGGTAAATGGGAAACAGGGTCTCTCTAGGGGTAGATGGGGAGCAGGGGCACTATAGGGGTAGATGGGGAAGCAGGGGCACTATAGGGGTAGATGGGGGCACTATAGGGGTAGATGGTGGAGCTGAGGCACTATAGGGGTAGATGGGGCAGTATTGGGGTAGATGGGGGAACAGGGTCTCTCTAGGGGTAGATGAAGGAGCAGGGGTACTATAGGGGTAGATGGGGAGCAGGGACATTATAGGGGTAGATGGGAGCACTATAGGGGTAGATGGGGGAGCAGGGGCACTATAGGGGTAGATGGGGAGCAGGGGCACTATAAAGAGTAGATGGGGCACTTTAGGGGTAGAGGGGGCACTATAGGGGCAGATGGTCTCACTTACCAGGCAGAAGATTTGGGCCTCGTTAGCCCCACCCCCACCGTATCTGTCCTCGCTGGCCGCTTAACTCCGTCCCTACATTCTCTCTCTGCTAAGCCCGGGTAGAGGATAGGAAGGGCAGGGAGCATGCAAGCTGTGTCGGCCACATGGCGCCCCCTGCTGCCATGGTGCCCTGTGCAACCGCACAGCTCGCACACCCCTAAGGCCGGCCCTGGATATACCCCAATGCCCACATGCATAGCTAAATGCATGGATGTTTTCATTGGAGGTGTATCTACTAAATAGAGATATTTTTTTTTCCTGTGTGACGTTTCCTTTAAAATCTATAAAAAATATTTATCAAATTATATCACAATCCAGTCCTATTACCACCAGGGCACACATTTACTTTACTTTACTTTACATTGGGGGTTATGTATAAAAAGTGGGTCAGTTGTATTAACATCATAATAATTTTGTTGTGTT